GACCATTTCCTTTTCCTTGACCACCAGCCACGACAATGCCTTGTTTTGCACCTTCCATCCATTTCATCACACGATGATTGTCCCATTCAGATACGTATACTGAATGATCTCGATCGACGAATACGTATGTGGGGCGAGAGAGTTGATCGAGACGATTTCCACTTCCATTGCCACCTGCAACCACTGTTCCTTGAGATTCTCCTCTTCGATATCGTCTCACTTCATGTTTTTCATAGTCATTGACATAGAGAGATCCATTCTCGTCCATTGTCAAACCCCAACAAGAGATGTTGGAGATGATTGTTTCTCCACTTGTCCCATTTCGACGAGGCCATCGAACCACTCTTCTATTCGAAGTATCGCATATGATGAGACTATCTCTCTCTTTGTCGATAATCACATCATATGGGTTATCCAATTGATGATCTCCACTTCCTTGTCCATTTCCACCGGCAATCACTTGGCCACTTGTTGCACCTCGTTTCCATTCCACAATACGATGATTCGACCATTCAGCAACATAGATTGTTTGATCATCATCAACATACAAACCACATGGGTCTGAGAGTTGATTGAATCCATTGCCTTGTCGATTTCCTCCAGCCACAATGATACCATTTTGTTGCCATCGAGCATTTGGATGAATGTTGGTGCTGGATGGAGAACGTAATGGATAGTCTAAAATAGACACAAGAAAAATTATTAAAATAAGAGAGAGAAGGTTTCTCTTCATAGAAATCGAAATTGCTGCAAGACGAGAAATGCTTTTTAATCGAATTCTCAACTTTATCAACAAGGATGATTTTGTTTTAGAATATGGTGTGGAATTCAAAGTCATTCATTGCAATTTTATCGGACAACTATCCGTTATTCCTTTATTTTACTCTCAAATTCAATCTTTTAAATTGTTATATTCGAATTCAAATTCATAAGATTATTACACAAACGACTATTTCCCAACGTTGCCAATGTCTTTCATGGGCAGCAACTATAATGAATTAGAGAATGATAGTTATGGTCAACTTTCAACAAGAGTAAGAAAAGAGGTTTTTGTCGTTGAAAACTGAATAATCATGCTAGACAAGGACCAGTTCTATGCAGATCGTTGAATAATAACTGTACCTAACTACTCCTCATTTACAAATCAAATGTTAGACGTCATTGCTGTATTTTGTTCATCAATTACTTTTAGTTCATGATGTTAGGTATTTTAAAAAGTATCTAT